GGCCTTGGGGCGGGGGTGGGGGAGACTGACCCTCTCTTGTCCTCTGTCTCTCTCTCTGTCTGTCTCTCTCGGCAGGTCGTCCGTACTGCCCTTTCATAAAGGCATCGGACAGTGGGCCTTCCTCCTCCTCCTCTTCCTCCTCCTCCCCTCCACGGACTCCCTTTCCCTATATCACCTGTCACCGCACCCCAAACCTCTCTTCCTCCCTCCCATGTAGGTAGCAGCCCCAGGCCTCGGCAGGGGGGTAAGGAGGGCCCCGCTTCCCAGAAGCACCCCTGCCCTTACTCCCCAGCCTGACCACTGATCTCTGGTGTTTGTCCCCAGAGCAGGTACTGCCTGCCTCTTTTCCCTGGCCCTGAAGGGGCACTGGCCCCCAGGGGCCTGGCTTACAGGGTCTGGAGTTGTGGTGGCCCCTGGGGGGCCTGGTGAGCTCCCAGCCCCCACCCAGACTCCAGAGAAGAGATGCTGGCCAGGCCCTGAGGTGTACAATCCTAGTCCCACGTGGCTTCAGGGCCCTCTTTGACCAGTGTGGGGATTTGTTCCATAGGCAGCCACCTGGACAGCCACCGGAGGATGGCACCCACCCCCATCCCCACCCGGAGCCCATCTGACTCCAGCACAGCCTCTACCCCTGTCTCCGAGCAGATCGAGCGGGCCCTGGATGAGGTCACTTCCTCGCAGCCTCCACCACTGCCACCCCCACCCCCACAAACCCAAGGTAAATGAGGGGCCCTAGCTGTACTGGGCCTCTCACCAGTCCTTGTGCTGAGAAACCCAGGTGGCCACGGTAACAATTCCCCAGGGACCTGGGCCACCCATCACCCAAACTGTACTGTCCTGGAGGTAGCTGTGGCAGGGAGGAGCCCTGGTATGGCAGTCAGATCTACCGTCTGAACTTTAGTGTCTCTCCGTGGAGTGGGAATCAGGCCTTCCTCCCAAGGCTGCTGAGTGGCTTGGAGACACTAGGTAAAGGGGCAGCAGGGCCCAGTGGGTGCTGGAGGGTGCTCTGCATGGAGCTGTTAGTGGAGGTCTTCTTTCCAGGAGGTCGTCAAATCTTTAATGCATGGGCAGGGTAGGTAGGGTGGCTGCCCATGGCCTTCCCTGATGGAAGTTGGTCACATATTTCTCCTCCATTTGTGCTGTAACAGAGACCCAGGAGCCTGACCCCGGCCTGGATAGCGAAGGGACCAGCAAGGAGGCCAGAGCTGCAGCCCCTCAGGCCTGGGCTGGCCCCGTGGAGGAGCCCCCTCAGGCACCGGAGCCTCCCCAGGGGCAAGGCAGCCCCATAGAGGACTTTATGTTCATGGTGGCTCCTGAGCAGGCTGTCCTGGCTGCCCCTCTGGAGCCTGCCATAGCCAACACCACTGCAACTGACACCCAGGCAGCTGCTGCCGTTGAAACCAACATTGCTGCTGCTGACACCGCTGTTGCCAACACCGTCACCCCTGCCGCTGCCAGCCTCATTGACCTATGGCCTGGCAATGGGGATGGTGCCTCCCCACCCCAGGCTGAGCCTAGGGCCCCCACAGCACCCTCAGGTGCTGAGGTCACTCTGGCAGAGGTGCCCCTGCTGGATGAGGGGGCTCAGGAGCCACTGCCATCAGCAGGTGAAGTCTGTGCCAGTCTCCTCAATTTTGATGAGCTACCTGAGCCGCCGGCCACCTTCTGTGACCCAGAGGAGGAAGTGGAAGGGGAGCCCCTGGCTGTCCCCCAGGCCTCAATTCCACCCTCTGCTCTAGAGAAGCTGGATCAGGAGCCAGAGCTGGAGCCAGAGCCAGAGCCAGAGCTAGAGCCAGAGTCTGAGCCCCACCTGCTGACCAATGGCGAGACCACCCAGAAGGAGGGGACTCAGGTAGGGCAGGGCAGGGTTGGAAGTCAGGGCTTGAGCAGGATACTGACCCTTCGTGTTTAGGCTTGCAGCAGCACCCCCTTTCTCTGTGACCCACATTATTAGGGGAAAGCTCTATTCCATTCCCCTTCCCTGGGCCAGCTCTGCTTTTGTTCCCAAGGCAGGTGTCTGTTTCCTTGGCAACCATGGATGGAATCACTGGTTGCCCGGGAAACGGGCTGGGGCCTGGTAGGTCAGCCCTAGTCTTGCTGGGTGGGGCCACAGTAACCTGGTGCTTTCCTCACAGGCCAGTGAGGGGTACTTCAGCCAATCACAGGAGGAGGAGTTCGCCCAATCAGAAGATCTATGTGCAAAGGCTCCGCCTCCTGTGTTCTACAATAAGCCTCCAGGTAGTAGGGGTATGGATGATGGGTTGGAAATCTGATGAGGGTGCTGGGTTCAAGTGTGGGAAGGCACCCTCCCCCCCACATAGCTGGCACGGTTGCCAAGGGTTGGGGGACACAGCTGTGGATCTGCTGGCTATCTCCTTAACTCCCCTCCCTTCCCAACACCATAGAAATCGACATCACCTGCTGGGATGCAGACCCAGTCCCTGAAGAGGAGGAGGGCTTCGAAGGTGGTGATTAGCAGTGGCGCCAGCCCTCAGGCTGCCCTTGCCAAGGCTACCCACCTGCGCCGGCCTTGTCCAGATGGCCCGCCGCGCCTGCATTCGAAGCAGCTCCGCCTGGCACCCACTCCGGATTCCGGCCCTGTCCCGGGACTTGGCCGCTTCCCTACCCACAGGGCCTGACTTTTACAGCTTTTCTTTCTTTTTTTTTAAAAAAAAAAAGTTGATAGGAGACTTGTACAGTTGACTGGTTTTCCTCCCGTTGGTAGTTGAGACGCTGTTGCAAATTTCACCCCCTTCCTTCCCCGGTCCGGATTGTAGCGCTTAGCCCTCCCTGCTCACTCAGCTGGCCGGGGTGGAGGCCTCACCCTGCTTGGGGCCTGGTGAGGGGGGAGCTCTGGTGGGAAAATGTCCCCCACCTCTTTTCCTAGTTTTATGTTTCTTGGAAAAAGATCACTTTGTATTCTCTGTCCAGGGCTTCAGATATTTTGCACGAATTTGAAAACATGGCAATAAATGGCTCGTGGGCTCTGGCTCCCTGGGAACCCTTCCCCGCCCTTCTCTTGACCCCTACCCACCTGGCCCAAAGGAAGTAGTAGGCCCAGCTGGGGCCCCTCAGCCTCCCAGCCCTTTCCTGCCCCCTCCTGCTGGGCGGGTCCCAGGCTGGAGGCCTTAGGCGAGATTCAGGTCAGGGCTATGGGTGGGGCCCGGGGCTTGGGTGGCTCCTCCCCAACTCCTCCCTCTTTGCTTGGGTTCCTTTTTCACATTCAGTAACTGTTTTTTGGAAAGCACAAACTTCTGTAACGGGTCGTGCTCATGTCTGTTAATAAAGAAATCCAGATCCCTTTGGGCCTGCTGCTGGGCCGCCTGCCCTGACCCCCTTTCCCGATTCTTCCCACCTCCAAGGCCGCAAGGGACGCCCTCACTGATTTCTTGAGCAGGGAAGGTGGGGTCTGAGGCTCTTGGGGGAAGCAGGCTAACCTCAGGTATAGTTCTGCATCCTCCAGCCACTTAACAGCTGAAAAGCGCATTCAGCTTTCGTCCTGCCAAGGCCCAGGCACACCTCGCCACCAGAACCTTGGGCGCAAGCAGTGGGTGTCCCCTTCCGCTTGTACCAAACCAGATCACACACCTTTATTATCCTCAAAATGTAACAAACGGGGTAAGAAATCCCTCCCACCCCCCGCAGTCCAAAGGAAGCATTTAAAAAGCCCCGCAGTCAGACCAGGAATCGGCTGTTAGGGCTCGGGTCGCCGGGCGCCCCTCTATACGGCTGTAGTCCTCCCGAACAAGGGGATGGAGACTGGCAGGCGCCAAGCTCCGTGCTCCAGCGGCTCGCGGCTGCTGAGCTCCGAGTCGGTCCAGCTGGGGAAGACCCGGCGGCTGCGGTCCGCCTGCAGGCAGAGTGCAGGGCAGGGCGCCGCGGGCCGCGGGGCGCTAGGTAGGTGCAGCGCCGACGTGTAGCCTCGGTCCAGGAACAGCGGCTTGTAACTGGGCGGCGGCTGCTCCTGTTTCTCGGCGCTGTCGCGGCGGCTCAGAAAGGGCGTGACGATCTTGCGGTAGAGACCGCGCGTGTCCGTGAGCACCTCGCTGTAGGGCGGCGGCGGCTCGGCCATCAGCACCGCCTCTTCGTAACACGGAGGCTTGGACATGTCCGATTCCGCTGCGAAGTGGGAAGCGGTCCGAAGGCGTGAGGCGACCGGTTCCCAGCCTCCCGCAGAAACCTTAGCCAGCCCCAGGCCCAGCCCGCTCCCTCCTAGGTTGGGCGGTGGGCGAGGCCCCGCCCACCCCGTTGGTGTCCAGCCTCGGTCAGCACTTACCTTGGCGCGGGTAGCTCCAGGGACGCGGCGGCACTGAGAGGTGCGGGGGCTGCGGATGCTGCAGCGCGTGGTGGTGTGCGTGCGGATGGGCGTGTGGCTGCGCGGGCCCGTGATGCAG